ATTTAAAAAAACGAAAATTGTGATAATATCTCAAAATCTAAAACCGAAAAAATTTTTTTGACTACTTCATCCAATTCTCTGTAAAAAAGTGTCCATATAATGTCTTAGTTATAATACTCCACCTATAATAATAACGAAGATAATTGCACTTGCTGGTTTTACGATATTTCCAATTTTGGCCTCTAGGGGAAAAACAAAAGACGATAGCGCTATGAGGTTTTCGGCATTAGCAGTTTCTCGAAAAACGAGATCATGACATGTAAGCTACTTTTTTTCTAACTCTTATAGTTTCCGAGTTAGCCTATTCGGACATCGAATTTGAACCACCCTGTACACCAATAATTTCGAATTATTTGTTTTGGGCAAACTTGTATTTCATAAAAAACGCAAAATACGTCTGAAAATTTATTAGAAAAAAACAACTATATTAGAAATGAGTAAGTAGGTATAAAAAGAGGCTACCTTTGATGCTGTCTTCAAAACCTACTATTCGATGAGTTAAACGTTAAAAGATACCTGGTGCTCTTTGATAGAAATGGAAGATGTCTTGGAAGGGCAAAAATGAAAGTTAGAAATATCTCTTTATCTGTACATTGAATCATCAAGACGAAAACGAGAAAGAGCAAGAAGGACGCGAAACTTTAAGTGGCAACATTGATATCTTTGTTTATTACCTTGATAATCTACCGCATGCGCCTAGAAGACCTGGTATAGAACGTGGTGACGTGGAAACAAGACGAATACATTGATTGCAGACATAGGTTATGAGCTAACGCAGGCTTTTAGAATACATGCGGCAAAATCAACATGGAGATACTTGAACTAGAGTACTAAGATCGACCATCTGGAAAAACAACTGCATATCTACCGAGACCAAAGTGAGGACATACAAAGCCTGCCAATAATGACAGATACTACGGAGGCGCCGGCAGACATAGCAGAAACTAGAGAGAGAAAGCGATTTTAAAAGTAATCACTCGAAACTCGCCATGGGACCAGAGATGACACAAGGAAATTCTGGAGGAATGCGAAACAGAAGATGTGATGTGAGAAACGAGGCCGTTTGGAACAAAATAATATTGAAGCCAAGGATATATTGCATATATTGCAGGTATTAAAGGTTGCGAACATTCGAACAACTCCATTAAGCACACAACCCCACTCAGAACTAGCAAAAACGGTAAATCATCTGCCGTGGCGACATATAGAGTCAAACCAAATCGTGAACTATAGTGAGAAAGTTTACGAAGGGGTAGCAATTTTCGTGTATAAACCCTACATATTCTGACAAAGAAACGTTAAGCACTTAATGTGATAAGTGTAAAAAAGGGTGAAAGTATCGAACTTGCATTGCATTCTTTTCAGCAAGCAGAATTTTTATAAAAAATTCGCTTGTAACAGAGTCATATAGCAACCAGGTAAACAACGACCAAGCTCCCTACGAGCAATTAGAAATTTCCCCCAAATTGAAGTTGTTTAGAATCATACCTTCAATTCTTTTAACTATATCATGGGTTATAAGTATGACTTCTTCTTCTTTGGGAAAGCCATAGAGGTTTGTTCTACCCATTCTGTTTTGCATTTCTTGTAATGCAAACGACCAGCTACATTTCCATCCTTTTGGAGGTTGTCCTGATGGTGTTTTGGATGCTGGTCTGCAATTTCTGGAAATCCTTGACGTAAAACGTTAATGAGTTCTGCGTGCGCGCATTCATCTTATTACATCTTCCGTCTCGCCGCATTCCTTCCAAATTTCCGTGCAACTTCTTTGATCCCATAGTATGAAAATTATTGTAACATATTTAGTTACATACTTAGTACAACATCGTATTTAGAAGACATCATTAACAAAAGGAACAAAACTAACCCCAATAGTAGTACCTCGGTTGCAGTAGCAGTAGTGAAAGAGACAATACTGCAGAATATTTTATTAGTTCGACAAAGCTAGATGCACGACCCATTTTATTCTCATGGATCATAAGTCAGATTGATAGTTCCATAGTTAACATTGTTGTTGCTACAACAGAGACGCTGACTACTTTTTTTATGTAACTTAGAAGCACTTACAGAACTAAGCGATAGTGAATTATGCAAAATTCCGAAAATTCCAATACCGAAAATCAGACAAGTGAAAGATTAATCCTCTACTTTACATCGCAAATTTACAAGGAAGTGAGAATCAATTTTGCCAGTCTCTTTTTGTCTTAGTTCTAGTGATAGAACTAACACAGTTCTAGGTCTAGCGACTAACACTAAACATTGGACTGTATTAGTTGTAGATTTAGAGTTATCACTAGAACTAAAACAGTTGTAGTGGTAGCTAGGAGTTAAAATAATGACCCATGTAATTTAAAGTGCTTACTGGTAGCATATCCTGTAAACCCAATTCCATTGAAGACTCTTCATACAAATATAAATCCAATGAAGATTTGTTGCAACAAAAGTATTATCCTTAGCGGATTTGGTAAACCTTATTTTGTACACCAGTTGCTTTTCGACATAATTTCTTGTGTAAGGTAAGAACAGTTTATCGGTGGAAACGTTTTTCCGGCAAGTTCTTTCAATTTCTGGAACTCGTACTGGACCGGGAACCGTCTGGAACCGGGAACGAATCGAAAGAAAAAAACTTTTAGAACAAAAGTTGTAGCAAATTTTATCCTTCACACATTGCTCTCTGACACTTTTGCTCTTAGATGCGTTAATGAAGAGAAACATTCGAAAATATGAAAATTGGAATAATTCGTAATATCACAAGTTGCTAATGGAAAAAAACCGTATGCTGAGTATGGTACAGAAAAACTATTAGAACAAAAGTTGTAGCAAATTTTATACTTTGCACATTGCCCTCTAATACTTTTCCTCTCTAATGCATCAATGTAGAGAAATATTCAAAAATATGAAAATTAGAAGAATTCGTAGTTTCACAATGGGTTAATGGAAAAAAAAAACGGTATTCCGAGCATGATACAGAAAAACTGTCAGAACAAAAGTTGTAGCAAATTTTACACTTTACATATTGCTTTCTAGCACTTTTGCTCTCAGATGCATCAATGTAGAGCATTTTTGAAAAATGTGCAAATTACAAGAGTGTTGAAAAAAAACGGTATCCGGAGCAGAATACAGAAAAACTTTTACTACAAAAGTTGTAGCAAATTGTGCCCTTAACACAATGGTCTGTAACTTTTTTGCTCCCAGATGCATCAATGTAGAGCATTTTTGAAAAATGTGCAAATTACAAGAGTGTTGAAAAAAAACGGTATCCGGAGCAGAATACAGAAAAACTTTTACTACAAAAGTTGTAGCAAATTGTGCCCTTAACACAATGGTCTGTAACTTTTTTGCTCCCAGATGCATCAATGTAGAGCAGTGGTTCTCAAACTATGGTACGCGTACCACTGATGGTACGCGAGAAGTTCTCAAGTGGTACGCAAAACAGTTTATATTTGGATTATCATTATTGTTTTTTTTTTGTTCAGTGGTACTTACCTGATTTTTAAAATAGCCTTAGTGGTACGCAAGGATATAAGTTTGAGAACCGCTGATGTAGAGAAATATTCGAAAATATGAAAATTGGATGAATTTGTAATTTCACAAGTTGCTAATGGAAGAAAAATGGTATTCCGAGGTTGATACAGAAAAACGTTTAGAACAAAAGATGTAGCAAATTTTACCCTTTACACACTGCTATCTAACACCTTTGCTCTCAGATGCATCAATATAGAGAAATATTCGAAAATATTAAAAATTGGAAGAATTTCGTAATTTCCCAAGATGCTAATGGAAAGAAAACGGTATTCCGAGCTTGATACAGAAAAACATTTTGAACAAAAGTTGTAGCAAATTTTACACTTCGCACATTGCTCTGTAACACTTTTACTCTCAGATGCATCAATGTAGAGAAATAATCGAAAATATAAGAATTACAAGAATTCGTAGTTTTACAATGGGTTAATGGAAAAAAACGGTATTCCGAGCAGGATACAGAAAAACTTTTAGAACACGAGTTGTAGCAAATTTTACACTTTACACACTGCTATCTAACACTTTTGCTCTCAGATGCATCAATGTAGAGAAATATTCGAAAATATGAAAATTAGAAGAATTCGTAGTTTCACAATGGGTTAATGGAAAAAGCGGTATTCCGAGCATGATACAGAAAAACTGTCAGAACAAGAGTTGTAGCAAATTTTACACTTTACCTATTGCTTTTTAGCACTTTTGCTCTCAGATGCATCAATGTAGAGAAATATTCGAAAATATGAAAATTAAAAGAAATCGTAGTTACACAATTATTGTCTAATGAAGAAAAAACGATATTCCGAGCATGATACAGAAAAAGTTTTAGAACAAAAGTTGTAGCAAATTTTACCCTTTACACATTGCTCTCTAACACTTTTGCCCTCAGATGCATCTTAGTGTAACAATTTCTAGTCATTGCGGTTGACACTAAGTCACATCTTATTTTTAAAACACAGTACTGAGCAAAATTTTACTATTGTTATTGATTAAAAATTATGGCTTGGAGCAATATTAATTTAAATTAACTTATTATTTAATTTTTATTTTTAGATGCGTCATCATATAATTTATCTACTTCTATTACAAACAATTTGTATCGTTTACGTAAACTCCGAAGGTTGTTTAATCGAAGAGCATCCGGAAGAGCTTTGCCCGGAAACAGAATATCATGCTTACATAGAATGTTTACAAACAAAAAAAAGAATGAAACGTTCAGTTTGCAATTCGGAACCCTGCAACGAATGTAACTGCTCGTATTGCGAGAAAAACGAATGCAGCGAAATGTGTAATAATTGTTGTGAGATTTCTTTCGATACATGCGAAACTTCGTATTGTTGTTACAAAAAGTGTCACTCGAAATGTAGTTCTGGAGATTGTAGAAGAACTTGTAGAAAATCTTGTCAGGATAATGTAAATGAGAAGAAGAAGGTGGTTCAAGAAGGTATTGTGTTAACTCCGAATATTACAACGGTTATTAATTTACATAATAAAATTAATAATACGAATATTTTGGATCTTCCCATTAAGATTGAAACAAAAAATATTAATAATATTACTTTGGATAAAGCTGATTTGATTCAAAATGATCAAGGTTTTGTTGAGGCTTATGATGATTCAAAAATCGATAAAAATGGTGATATAAAAATAGATGAAAACGTTGATGAAATAACTGATGAGAAGAATAATGAAGATATTAAAGAAAATGTTGAAGATTCAACCGAAATTAATAAAAATGATGAGAACACCACAGAAGAGAAAAATAATTGTTGTCAAGTAATTAGTCCAAGACAATGTGTACCACAAGTTGAATTTCCCTTTATGAAGTGTTTCCATTACAGGCAGCAGGTAAATAGAAACATTTTAAATAACAATTAACTTTTATAATCAATTTGTATTTGTTTAGGTTTGCGGAAATATTTGTCAAGCGAAAATAATGCATACCCAAACCCATCAAATCTGCGATGAAAATCCATCTGGACCACCAAACTGTCATAATCAAATTATTTATATACCACAACCACAACCAAGATGTACTTATTTGGATGTTTGGCCCTACGTTAGTTGTAATATACAAAGTATGGATAATTCGTATAATGTTGGTCCGTTTCCTCAATCACTTGGTCAATCATATGGTTCGTATCCTTATGGACAATACCCCAATCAATTTGCCCCATACCAAAACTTCGGTTATAATTTTAATCAGTACAACCCATTATCTTATGGGTTGGAGAATTTTTATAGCGTTTCGAGAGATGTCGATGGAACTAATTATGAGAATTTATTTGGTAATAAAGGAGTTGTGGGTACTTCCCAAGAGAATTATATCTCTGAAACGATACCGATTGAAATTAATCAATTGAATAATGAACCAGTTGCGCCGGAACTTGTTCGAGTTGAAGTTAAAACTAAACCCAACGAAAGTGTATAAATACAAAAGCTTTTTATAAATATAAATTTCTTATAATTTTTTCGACAACATTATCATTTTCTTCTTTTAATATAATACGTACATATAAAATTAATTTAGATTAATTATCATTTTATTATGTTTTTCTTTAAACGGAATGTTATTGTTACTTTTACTTAATAAATTGATTGCACTAATATTTTTATGTTTTTAAATGATTGGTGTATGTCAAAATGGTATTAATCGGTTAATGACATTCCTGGGATACTTAAAAATGATGAGGGAATTAAAAAGTTGATTTTGATGATTTTGGAAAGTGTTTAAAGAATATTAGGAACAAGAAAATACTTGTTGGTGTGTGCCAAAATGCTACTAATCGGTTAATAACATTCATGGGATACTGAAAAATGATGAAGGAATTAAAAAATTGATTTACATATTTTTGGAAAGTGTTTAAACAATACTAGAAATTAGCAAATACTTGTTGGTGTGTGTCAAAATGGTACAAATCGCTTAATAACATCCCAGGAATACTTAAAGTTGATGAGAGAAATGAAGAAATTGATTTTGACATTTTTAGAAAACGTTTCAAAAATGTAAAGAACAAGAAAACACTTGTTGGTGACTGTCAAAATGGTACTAATCGATTAATAACAACCCTAGGATACATAAAAAGGATGAAAGAATTTAAAAAAAAGATTTTGATGTGTTTTAAAACTGTTTCAAAGCTGTCACAAAAAAAAAGAAAAAGCTTGTTGGTTTATGTCCAAATGGTAGTAATGTGTTAAAAATAGCTTCAGATTAATTAATAAAAACAAAAACAGGTAATAACATTTAATAGGGACATTTTGCAGAAAATTTTAAAACTTTGGCATATAGAAAAAGCTGATTGGTATAAATCAAATTGGTTCTAGTCGATTAAAAGCATCCCTGGGATAACTAAAAAGGCTCAAAATAAACGCATTAAATCGCTAAAATTAATTAAAATATCAGAATAAGATTTAAAGCTTTTTAAAGCAAATTTAACCTACTTTTAGTGAGCCTTTGATTATTTCTTCGCTTTCATAAGTTGCGTTGTTATGATGCTTTGGACACAATTTGCATCTATAGCAGTAATTGAGATAATATCGAAAAAGTTTAATATAGAAAAAATCCTATCTCAGAAAGTAATTGAGATATCAGGACGAACTAAACGACATCTTAAACCAAATTTATTCTAGATTTAATGCTACTTAATGTATTTCTTAATTTCCTTAAACGTGGTAGTTATGAAATTTTTAATCAACCTCACTTTGTGTGAACGTTAACTAAACACTGTGTAAATAAAACGTCGTATCTCCACAATGAATTGAGATATCAAAATGAGATTGGAAGCGTTTTAAAGCAAATTTAATCTAGTTTAAGTGAGCCTTTGATTATTTCTTCGCTTTTATAAGTTTCGTTGTTATGATGCTTTGAACACAATTTATATGTATAATAGTGATTGAGATAGTATCGAAAAAGTTTAATGTAGAAAAAATCCTATCTCAAAAAGTAATTGAGATATCACCACGAACTACAAAACATTTTAAAGTAAATTTATTACAGATTTAACGCTCCTTAATGTATTTCTTAATTTCCGTAAACATCGTAGATATGAAATCTTTAATCAACCTCGTTTTGTGTGAACGTCAACTCAACACTGTGTAAATAAAATGTTGAATCTCCAAAACGAATTGAGATATCGAAATGAGATTTAAAGTGTTTTAAAGCAAATTTAATCTAGTTTTAGTGAGCCGATGATTATTTCTTCGCTTTTATAAGTTTTGTTGTTATGATGCTTTGAACACAATTTGCATGTATAACAGTGATTGAGATAATATCGAAAAAGTTTAATGTAGAAATAAATCCTATCTCAGAAAGTAATTGAGATATCAGCACGAACTAAAAAACATTTTAAAGGAAATTTATTCTAAATTTAATACTCCATCATGTATTTCTTAATTTCCGTAAAAATCGTAGTTATGAAATTTTTAATCAACCTCACTTTGTGTGAACGTTAACTAAACACTATGTAAAGAAAACGTCGTATCTCCAAAACAAATTGAGATATCAAAATGAGGTTGGAAGCGTTTTAAAGCAAATTTATTCTAGTTTAAGTGAGCCTTTGATTATTTCTTCGCTTTTATAAGTTTCGTTGTTATGATGCTTTGAACACAATTTGCATGTATAATAGTGATTGAGATAATATCGAAAAAGTTTTATGTAGAAAAAATCCTATCTCAAAAAGTAATTTAGATATCGGCACTAACTAAAAAACATTGTAAAGCAAATTTATTCTAGATTTAATACTCCTTAATGTATTTCTTAATTTCCGTAAAGATCGTAGATACGAAATTTTTAATCAACCTTACTTTGTGTGCATATTAACTAAACACTGTGTGAATAAAACGTCGTATCTCCAAAATGAATTGAGATATCAAAATGAGATTGGAAGCGTTTTAAAGCAAATTTATTCCAATTTTAGTGAGCCATTGATTATTTCTTCGCTTTCACAAATTTCGTTGTTATGATGCTTTGAATACAATTTGCATGTATAATAGTGTTGAGATAATATCGAAAAAGTTTAATGTAGAAAAAAACCTATCTCAAAAAGTAATTGAGATATCGGCACGAACTAAAAAACATTTTAAAGCAAATTTATTCTAGATTTAATGCTCTTTAATGTATTTCTTAATTTCCGGAAAGATCGTAGATATGAAATTTTTAATCAACCTCGTTTTGTGTGCATGTTAACTAAACATTGTTTAAATAAACCGTCGTATCTCCAAAACGAATTGAGATATCAAAATGAGATTGGAAGCGTTTTAAAGCAAATTTATTAAAATTTTAGTGAGCCATTGATTATTTCTTCGCTTTCACAAATTTCGTTGTTATGATGCTTTGAATACAATTTGCATGTATAATAGTGTTGAGATAATATCGAAAAGCTTTAATGTAGAAAAAACCCTATCTCAAAAAGTAATTGAGATATCGGCTCGAACTAAAAAACATTTTAAAGCAAATTTATTCTAGATATAACGCTCCTTAATGTATTTCTTAATTTCCGTAAACATCGTAGATACCAAATTTTTAATCAACTTCATTTTGCGTGCATGTTAACTAAACACTGTTTAAATAAAACGTCGTATCTCCAAAACGAATTGAGATATCAAAATGAGATTGGAAGCGTTTTAAAGCAAATTTATTCCAGTTTTAGTGAGCCATTGATTATTTCTTCGCTTTCACAAATTTCGTTGTTATGATGCTTTGAATACAATTTGCATGTATAATAGTGTTGAGATAATATCGAAAAACTTTAATGTAGAAAAAACCCTATCTCAAAAAATAATTGAGATATCGGCACGAACTAAAAAACATTTTAAAGCAAATTTATTCTAGATTTAACGCTCCTTAATGTATTTCTTAATTTCCGTAAACATCGTAGATATCAAATTTTTAATCAACCTCGTTTTGTGTGCATGTTAACTAAACACTCTTTAAATAAAACGTCGTATCTCCAAAACGAATTGAGATATCAAAATGAGATTGGAAGCGGTTTAAAGCAAATTTATTCTAGTTTTAGTACACGTGTAATTATTTCTTCGCTTTCATATATTTCACTATTATGACATTTTAAACATAATTTGAAATTTTAATTAATTAAGTTTAGTCTTCGTTTTCATTATTTACTTTTCATTCATCTTTCTATTTTTATTTTTCGTTAGAATTGGTCGTTAATCTTATTGCCTAATTTTTATTTTAAAACATCTAAACAGTTTCTTAAGTAAACGATCTGATTAATTTAGTTTATGTAACCTTGGATCGTGCTGAAAAAACTGTGGATTAACAAACCACACCCGAAGGTCTCTTTCAACTTATTTTTATATTCGTAAACGAACGAAAAGTATAAAAGCTACCGAAAAAAACTTCTTAACAACTCGTGTGTTGAGTTCTNGTTTTAGTACACGTGTAATTATTTCTTCGCTTTCATATATTTCACTATTATGACATTTTAAACATAATTTGAAATTTTAATTAATTAAGTTTAGTCTTCGTTTTCATTATTTACTTTTCATTCATCTTTCTATTTTTATTTTTCGTTAGAATTGGTCGTTAATCTTATTGCCTAATTTTTATTTTAAAACATCTAAACAGTTTCTTAAGTAAACGATCTGATTAATTTAGTTTATGTAACCTTGGATCGTGCTGAAAAAACTGTGGATTAACAAACCACACCCGAAGGTCTCTTTCAACTTATTTTTATATTCGTAAACGAACGAAAAGTATAAAAGCTACCGAAAAAAACTTCTTAACAACTCGTGTGTTGAGTTCTAAGTAGGTGCAATAAGGTAAGATGATTTTAATTAAAAAAACAAAATTAATTTAATTTATTAACAGATGAGGATCTCAATATTAATTCTGTTACTATCACTGACATATTTGGCATGGGGACATGGAAACTGTGGCGGATGTAGTAACAATTGTTCAAGATGTATACAAAGATGTTCGGATTGTGATTGTGAATGTGAAGAGTCAAATTGTGGTGATGATTGTAACAAAGAAACAATTAAAAATAATACGGTTATAATCAATTCCGATTCGACATCATCATCCAATTCAAATCTTCGATTGACCCTTGATAATATTGTTACTGTTAATAACACCATTGAAAATCCCATTAATGTTACAACCATTAATAAAAATAACATAAAATTACATCCATCTAGTTCTACCAAGAATGGTGGAAAATCTGAACGTTTAGTTGTTCCCGTTCCTGTTCCTGAACCTGTTTATATTCCTCATCCTGTATATATTAATAAACCTGTTCCGGTACCACAACCTCATCCTGTGTATGTACCTTATCCCGTTCGAGAAAAAGTACCCGTTCCTGTTCCTCATCCCTTACCTATTCCTGTACCACATCCTAGACCATATCCTATTCCGATTCATCATTTTGTTCCTGTGGACCGTCCTGTTCCGCAACCAATTCCATTTCCTCA